CAGGTCTTTGGACGCACTGCCCGGAAAGGAAACCCAGGGATGGTCCAGATGGTTCTCAACCAGGGCCATCTTGCACCAGCTTACCAAGGCCATTCCATCGAAACCATGAGACAGCTCAGAGAGGAGTATGAGCTCAGACATTTAGACAGCATGGAGAAATATAAGTGTGACATTGAAATTAAAGAAGCTCTCTTCTCCACATTTTGTGAATTTCTGTGTGACTTTGACAAGAATTACACGGTGGAAGAAAGGAGTGACCTGTCCAAGGTGAAACTGAAGGATGTTCCTGAATATTTTAAGATCCACCAGAACAAGTTTGACTATCAGACTGCACTGAATGCTTTGAAAGAATCTTGGGCTTTGTGGCTCATCCTTCATGAAGAGCACATCAGCAGACATGATGATATCAGCAAGTTGAGAGAAGACCTCACCAAAGACTTGAAGAAGACCGGTGACTTCCTTCTGCAGGGGACTAGCTGTAATTTCTATGATTACATCAAACAGGCAACAAGCAGAACTGACCTGCACTGCATGAACAAAACTAAATGTGACTTTGGAGCAAAGACTTACTGGCAGAAAGCTGCAGAGTGCGATCATTTCTACAGTGCTGTGGCGCTTTATAATCAAGCTTACATCACACTCAACCTCAGAAAAGAAGACTACATAGAAGAGGGAAAGAAATTATTGGAGGAAGCGAAGACTGCAGTGGATGTCTATCTCTCAGAATCAACAAATACGATGATGTTTTGTAATTTTTTAGTGATGAGTGCCTTTGTTTCACACCACACAAACAGCAACCTCCAGATCCAAATGCAAGCCAGGATGAATATCTTCAAATCTTGGAAAGGATACATTGAAAGTGCCGTGACAACTCTGACACAGCTCGATGGCAGCGAAGGTGATGCAGAAGTAGAGAGTTCCAGTGTGTACCATCTTTCAAAAGATAAAGATTTAATCACCATCAACGAGCTGATGATGCTCTGTGAAAATGGCCTTAGCACAGTCTTTGAGGTTAAAAAGAAGCCCGAGTTCTGCTATGATGCCCTTGCTTGTTTTGTTCTTGGTGCCCTTCAAGTAGCAGCTGGTGTTCTTGTTTATGCTCTGTCATGTGGTGGTGCCAGCCAGTTTGGACTTGGACTGACTTGTGAAGGGGTGTCTGACATGATTGAAGGTATCAAAGGAATGATACAAGGAGGCTTTGACTGGGCTGAATGGGCAATCTCCAAGGCCATCACCATTGGATTGTCTCTGATCTCTGGTGGATTCAGCCGACTGAAGAAAGCCAGAAGTGCAGTGCGAAGTGGCACAAAAAATCTGATCACAAGAGCAAAGAGTACATCTGTCTGTACAGTAAAACAGTGTTTTCTGAAGGTGGGAAAGTATGCAGTTCAGGAACTGGGGAAGCAAGGATGTATCAGTGATCTGACTCATATTGTTGAGAGGGAAACTGATGCTTTTTTCCAAAAGGTTCTGAAGGACGTCTTTGAGAAAAAGGTGTTTTCACTGATAAAAGCCAACCATGAGCTGGATGAAGTTCTCACAAACTTCATTTGCTCAGGAATACCAAAGACTGCCCTGGAGAATGGGTCCAGTGAATTCAGAATTGACAGAGGGTGTGAGGAACAAATGCTTCAGTCAGTGGATCTGATAACAAGAGAAGTCATTCCTGCCCTGATGATGAATTGTACCATGGTTCTTAAGGTTCTTAATATACTTTCAGAAGTGTGTGGTGCTGTAACACAACAAACAGGAAGCCATCAAGGGTCGGATCTAATGGAAAAATCAGCTGAAAATGTACAAGTTAATGTGCAAACACTGGATTCAATACCTACGGAGAAGGTCATTAACAACACTTTTGTTCCTCAGCTGTTGCAATCCATGGAAAAACTACCCCAAGAAAGGAATGACCAGGATGGAAGACACAGTGTGTCAGATATGAAACGCTTTAAACATGAACTCATCAACAGGTTTGCAGAAAGTGCTTCAAGCTCTTATGTTGAGGCCTTTTCCTTCCAAAGCATCACTTTGGGTGAGGACATGGATGTCCAAAGATGTAGCAGGGTGGTTAACATCAGAAATTTTCTCTATGTAAGACTCCAAGTCCCTCTTCTCAGACTGTGACAACAACTCATGTGGACTTTGGATTGCCTTTTTCATATGATGCTTATAAAGGTGGTTTTCACAGAAACGTTGGGCATCGACACTGCTGAGAATGTTTCTAACAGCACCACCAGCAGCATGGTTTATTTGACTCATGCATATTTTGCTCATGATGGAGGTCATATGTCTGAAACATCAAACTGGTTACGGTGGACAATGATGGGAGGAAGCTTTCAGAAGACTATTTTCCAGGGAAGGAGGACTCAGCAGGTGATATAGTCCTCGAACTGAAGAAGGAGACAAAAAATCCAACACAGTAAGTGATATACATTAATTATTTGAAATCGTATAAGTCATCTTGTTACGACATATCAAAATGTTTTATTTCAAAATCATCAGAACCCTCATAAAGTTTCCACTTCACCTCTAATTTCAATTGTAACAGAGACTTAAACCATTCATTTCAAGGCAGATGTTATAATCGCATAGACTTTAAAATCAATGTGCAATTTTAATGCTAAGTTCCAATGCTTATAGTGGGTTACTTGAACATTCATGTACACTAGCAGTCTAAAGTTTGGACACACCTTCTTATTTAATGGTTTTCTTTACTTTTATGACTATTGACATTGAAGATTCTCACTGAAGGCATCAAAACGATAAATGAACACATGTGGAATTATGTAGTAAACAAAGTGTGAAATAACTTCAAACATGTTTTATATTTTATACTCTTCATAACAGCCACCCTTTGCTTTAATTACTGCTTTGCACACTCTTGGCATTCTCTCCATGAGTTTCATGAGGTCGTCACCTGAAATGGTTTTCCAACAGTCTTGAACGAGTTCCCAGAGATGCTAAGCACATGTTGGTCCTTTTGCCTTCACTCTGCGCTCCATCTCATCCCAAACCATCTCCACTGGTTTTAGGTCAGATGACTGTGGAGGCCAGGCCATCTGGCGCAGCACTCCATCACTCTTCTTCTTGGTCAAGCAGCACTTACACAGCCTCGGGTGTGTGTTAGTGGTTATTGTGTTGTTGGAAAATAAATGATGGGATGGCATGTTGATGCAGGCTGCTGTGGTAGCCATGCTGGTTCAGTGTGCCTTCAGTTTTGAATGAATCCCCAACAGTGTCACCAGCAAAGCCCCCCCACACCATCACACCTCCTCCTCCATGCTTCACAGTGGGAACCATGCATGTAGAGACCATCGTTCACCTTTTCTGCATCGCAGAAAGACATGCCGGGGGGAACCAAAGATCTTCAATGTGGACTCATCAGACCAAAGCACAGATGTTCTAATGTCCATTCCTTGTGTTTCTCGGCCCAAACAAATATCTTCTGTTTGTTGCTTTCAAGCCATAAAGGCCTGATTCACATGGTCTTCTCTGAACCGCTGATGTAGAGATGTGTCTGCAACTGGAACTCTGTGTGGCATTTATCTGGGCTCTAATCAGAGGTGCTGTTAGCTTATGATTTCTGAGGCTGGTGACTCGGAAGAATGTATCCTCAGCAGCAGAGGTAACTCTTGGTCTTCCTTTCCTGGGGTGGTCCTCATGTGAGACAGTTTCATCGTAGCACTTCATGGTGTTTGTGACTGCATTTTGGGACACATTCGAAGTTTTAGGAAATTTGCCAGACTGACTGACCTTCAGTTCTTAAAGTAATGGACTGTTTTTTCTCTTTACTTAGCTCATTTGACTTCTGCCCAACACAACTGATGGTCCCAACCCCATTAAGAAGGCAAGAAATTCCACAAATAAACCCTGACAGGCACACCTGTGAGGTGAAACCATGTCAGGTGACTACATCATGATCCTCAATGAAAGAAGGCAGAGGTTTTGAAGCACTGTCAACAAGGCAAAGGGGGGCTACTTGCAGGGTTCTGAAATATAAAACATATTTAGAGTTATTTATCAATTTGTTCTTTGCTACATAATTCAATATGTCTTCATATATCTGAAGTCTTCAGTTTGTATCTACAATGTAGACAATAGTAAAAATAAAGAAAAAAAAACATTAAATAAGAAGGTAGGTCCAAACTTTTTACTGGCATTAACTCTTCTTTCAATTTATTATTCATTTTATTCACCCATAATGTGCATGATCCAATTCGTTTTTTAAATCATCCTCTGGATCTTGTTCTGACATATTGTCAGGGCTCTGTGTGCAGGCGGATGAAGAGGTGGATCCAAATGCAGGACTCAGATACTAACTTGAAACTCAAAAACCTCAGCTTTATTGCTAGTGACCAAACAAAACATGAACAGAATAATGAACACAGAGAACCAGAAACACACAGGCATGATCTGATGGTACGACACGACACCGAGCACTGGAAAACACAGGGCTTATATACACAGGGTGGTAATGAGGGAATGGGCATTCTTTGAGCAGCCTTGTAAAAAAGGAATCTAAAAGACACGGCCATATAAACGAATTCGCCTCTCACCTCTGCGGGCGGTCTATCCTTCAAGAGTCCTTTGCCAGAGGCCTGGAAGCTTCTTCCACCTTTTCCCCTTTCTTTACATCATAAATTTCTACTTCTAAACTTAATGTAATTGGGCAAAGGTATTAGTAATCATTACCACACGCTCAAAGCATGTAGACATTGTAGCAAGTATGGTCTTCAGTTCTGTTTGTACTTTTTCCTGTTCTTTCCTCTTATTTTAAACAAAGTATCAAAACATAGCCTTCCTTTTGGGGAGAAACTAATTAACTAAAGGATCCATGAACTAATATCTCCTATATTCACAGAAAATTAATTATTCAATGATTTTCCTGTCACCAGATAAGTTTTCTCCATTACTGACCTTTGTTGTATATCACCAATTTTTCAAAAGTTTAAAAGTGAAATGTTTAAATCATTAGCTCCTAGCATTATTACACTTTAAAATACTGCATACTGTTGGATTTTAAAGGCTTGAGTAACACAAAGTTAGAAAATATGTGATCCAGCACAGTTTTTGCACTAACAAACTGCTGTTGTGGATTAGAATAGCCTGGAGAAGAGTTTGCTGTGAATTGCAGGTATATTTGTAAAAGTTCTGACAGTTTTCCTATTTTCTTTTGAATGTTTAATTGACTGAATTAATTCTTTAATCTAATCTTTTAATTTAAACAGGACAGAGGGATCCTTCTCAGGCATGATTGAGGCGATCTGGGGTGAACAGAGCCAATGCAGTGGTCACTTTGAAATCCTGAGCCCAGATGGCACCGTGATCCCTGTAAATTCAGAGGGTCAGAACTGCCTCTATCATGCTGTTGTCCAGGCAACCTGGAAAGACCAAGGTGATATGAGAAATGAGGCAGTTATCCTCAGGAATGAAATCAAACATACTGTAAGTATTTGATCATCAGTTGACACATTCAGAAAAATGTGTTATCCGTAAATAAAAACAGAGGTTTTCTAGTCAAGCAAAAAAATGATCTTATTCATGTAACACAAAGCAGGTTTAACACACAGTCTAATCTTGAAGTCTAAGAAGAAAACCTTATGTTCATACTTGGTGAGTCATCTTTAAGTATGGTAGGAGGGAGACATAACTAGGTTCTTTTGCATGCTTGCAGAATGAGAATGCTTTACTAATTTATCCTGCTGTCAATAAATTAAATGTTTCTTAGAAACACCCACCCACACAAGTAGGGCCTTAGGGTGCGGGTGTGTCACCAGGGTGCAGGGGAGGCATTCCCCCCCCTCTGTCCCCTTCTGGCCACCTGTGCCTCAATTTTATTCCACA